ATCTCTCTATCCTGGTTTAATACTAAAACAGGTTTTACATTTTCTTTAAATTTACAGTTTAGTCAGGACATAATACATAATACCATCAATCATAAAAAGTACATATAGACTACTAAACCAGCTCGAGACTACATTTAGACTACTTAACCAGCTCCAGATTGCATAAAGACCATTTGACTAGCTGCAGACTTCATATAGTCTACTGCATATAGACTACTAAACCAGCTCCAAACTACATATAGACTAATAAACCAACTCCAGACTACATATAGACTAATAAACCAACTCCAGACTACATATAGACTAATAAACCAACTCCAGACTACATATAGACTACTAAACTAGCTCCAGACTATATATAGACTACTAAACTAGCTCCAAACTTCATACAAACCAACTCCAGACTACATATAGACCAATAAACTAGCTGCAGACTTCACATAGACTACTAAACCAGCTCCAGAGTACAAATAGACTACTAAACCATCTCCAGACTAAAAATAGACTACAAAATCAGCTCCAGACTACCACACTACATATGGACTACTAAACCAGCTCCAGACTACATGTAGACTATATACTGAACTAGCTCTGGACTAAAGAAAGACTATTAAACTAGCTCCAGACTACAAAAATACTACAAAACTAGCTCTAGACAAAATATAGAATACTAAACTATATACCAGAAGTTCAGGGAGTGATTCTCTTTTTCCATTGTTATCTTTGAACTTGTGGCTCATTTCACTTTGTACATCAAAGCATAAAGAGTTTAACAAGAAATATCTTTTTCCGTTTTTTTCTTTTTAGCCAAATTCAGAAAAGACAACATTTTATTCTGCCATATAATATGGTTGCATTCAAACTACAAACACATAAACAATCTTGTATGCCGAGGTCATTAGTGCCTTATCCAATCAGGGTTCAGTCATGTGTTTGTTGGTTATTCTGCACCAATAGAAATTGCATAGCGGTAACATCTATCTTTATATTTATCTCATTATCCAATTAGAGATAAATCCTTGTATCGGCGCTATGCACTAAATGGAAATATTTACTTCTACTGAAACTTTAGTGAAAATAGAATGCTATTTAAGAGCTATTGTAAACAACAAAAATTTCTAATCTGTAATAAAATAAATTTGTTTTTCTCATACTTGTTCCTAAAATCAAAACTAGAGGAGCTACGAGGTCATAAAGTCGTATAATTAATGTGGCATGGACTACTGCCTAGTTTGCAGAGAAAAAGATAAAGTTTATAGACTTCTTTAAGGTTCAACTATGAATAGAAACTAGGTAAATGTTGTGGCTAGTGTTGATTGAATAAGAAAATAGTTTGATTTTTACTGGTTTAGATGTAGAATGTAGATATATGAGATTTAACCAAAATATTGGATATTATCAGGGGGTGGCCTACCTACGGATCTAAATATATTATTCATCTTTTCTAACGATAAACTTGTCAATTTTATCTTTTTAGATTTTCTCAGAAAATGAGGAATAAACCCTTTCCTAATCTACCCGAGCCGTAAACATAGATCCAGACATTTGTGAAAAGTTGCATCAATTTTCTAGACAGGGTCGACTTTGAAGTGTTACAACGCCTTGACTTTAGGTTTTACCTCACTTACTGACTCACAACTTTTTAAAACGCTAGAAATAAAGATTTTACATTATAAAGCTCTTTAATAACTTCAGTTTTTAAGAATAAATGGTTAAAATTCTCATCGATATTTGTTTGAGAGCTTACAACCTTTGGATCACAGTGAACTAAAGTCTACCGAACTATATGCTACTAGGATACTATTGTCTACCGAACTATATTCTACTGATACTATTGTATACCTAACTATATTCTACTGATACTATTGTCTACCGAACTATATTCTATTGATACTATTGTCTACCGAACTATATTCTACTGATACTTTTGTCTACCGAACTATATTCTACTGATACTATTGTCTACTGAACTATAGTCTACTGATACTTTTGTCTACCGAACTATAGTCTACTGATAATATTGTCTACCGAACTTTATTCTACTGATACTTTTGTCTACCGAACTATATTCTACTGATACTATTGTCTACTGAACTATAGTCTACTGATACTATTGTCTACCGAACTTTATTCTACTGATTCTATTGTCTACCGAACTATATTCTACTGATTCTATTGTCTTCCGAACTATATTCTACTGATACTATGGTCTACCGAACTATAGTCTACTAATAATATTGTCTACCGAACTATATTCTACTGATACTATTGTCTACCGAACTATATCTTACTGATACTATTGTCTACTGAACTTTATTTTACTGATACTATTGTCTACCGAACTATATTCTACGGATACTATTGTATACCGAACTATAGTCTACTGATAATATTGTCTACCGAACTTTATTCTACTGATACTATTTTCTACCGAAGTTTAGTCTACTGATGCTATTGTCTACGGAACTATATTCTACCAGGATAGTATTGTCTACAGAGCTTTATTCTACTGATACTATTGTCTACCGAACTATATTCTACTGATTCTAATGTCTACCGAATTATATTCTACTGATACTATTGTCTCCCGAACTATATTCTACTGATTCTATTGTCTACCGAATTATATTCTACTGATACTATTTTCTACCGAACTATATTCTACTGATAATATTGTCTACCGAACTATAGTCTACTGATACTATTGTCTATCGAACTATAGTCTACTGATACTATTGTCTACCGAACTTTATTCTACTGAAACTAGAGTCACCCGAACTATATTCTACTTATACTATTGTCTACCGAACTATATTCTACTGATACTATTGTCTACCGAACAATATTCTACTATTACTAGAGTCTACCAAACTATATTCTACTGCTACTATTTTCTACCGAACTTTAGTCTAACGTAACTATATACAACCCTATCTAACCCAATCAGTCTTATTAACACCGATACTAAAAGAATCCTGAATCTAAATTTTTGAATATTACTTAAATGGTCTTTCTTGTTATCTCCAAAATGAAAACTATAAACTTGCCATTTAATTTACATGTGAATTGGAACCCCTTGTATCATTCTTTTTCAGTAAGGTTTAATTGTCAGCGTATAATGTATAATGTATATTGCACTATTTAGAAAATGAGTTAAAAGAAACCTAATTATATAAAATTATCAAAACAATAATTTATTTTCTCTGATTAATGACAATCAAACATATATTCGAGTCTACTAAGACAGTTAAGAAAAATCAACCTCTTATATATTTTTAATAGTTTTATTGCAAACGCTTCAATAATGTACTTGGATTTTCTTTGGGGAAAATATAAGAGCGCTTGTATGTAAAAAGGTAGATTCCGTAAAATGTACTTAGTAATCCGCGAAAACTTCTTCAAGAAATCTAAAGTATACTGTAATTAGTAAACTGGGGGAGGATGGGGGATGTAATTAGTAAACTGGGGGAGGATGGGGGTTGGACAGTGCCAACTAGGGGGTTGGGGGTTGCCCCCCTCCTAGTTGGCCAGGTGTATGGGAAGGGGTAAATTAAAAAAAAAGTACACTAACATTACACGTACACTCTACACTTAACTATTGTTTTGTAAAGTCCTACATTTTCAAATAATTTAGAATTCAAGCAAAATTTGAAAATTTAAATTACTGATTTCTATTTGATTAGATGTGAACAGTACTCAGGTCTGGACAGTAATGGGACGGGATGTAAGGTAAATATTTAGTGCAATTCTAGATATCTTTATTTATCATTGATTGATTCATGTCTATTCCTTTATACATTTTATCTTATCTAATTCTTGATTTCTCCGTGGTTCATCCTTGATCCCTTTTAATCTTTTCTTTGATCCCTTCATATTTTTCGTAATCCCTTCATTTCTGTCATTGTTTTCTTCATGTCTCGTCCTTGATTTCTTCATGGTTTGTCCTTGATCCCTTCGTGTCACGTCCTTGATTTCTTCATGGTTTGTCCTTGATCCCTTCGTGTCACGTCCTTGATTTCTTCATGGTTTGTCCTTGATCCCTTCGTGGCACGTCCATGATTTCATCACTCATCCTTCATTTCTTAATCTTATGTCCTTGATTTCTTAATCTCTCGTTCTTTATTTCTTCATCTCTCGTCCTTGATTTCTTAATCTCTCGTCCTTGATTTCTCCATTTCTCGTTCTCTTCTAACCTACTGGTTCTCCAGGTTACCATTCCTTCCCAACCCTTCTAATATCTCCTGGTTCTCCAGGATACCATTACTTACCAACTCTTCTAACCTCCTTGTACTCCAGGTTACCATTCCTTCCCAACCCTTCTAATATCTCCTTGTTCTCCAGTTAAAATTCCTTCCCAGGCCTTCTAATATCTCCATGTCCTCCAGTTAAAATTCCTTCCCAGCCCTTTTTGGAATCGGAAAATTTTTTTCAATTGAATTAAAGTTTTAGAGTTCAAATTTTCTTAGAAATGTTTATATTTTTTACGCGCATTTTTGATATTCTCCTTGTTCTCCAGGTTGCCATTCCTTCCCAACCCTTCTAATATCTCCTGGTACTCCAGGATACCATTCCTTTCCAACTCTTCTAACCTCCTGGTTCTCCAGGTTGACATTCCTTCCCAACCCTTCTAATATCTCCTGGTACTCCAGGATACCATTCCTTTCCAACTCTTCTAACCTCCTGGTTGTCCAGGTTGACATTCCTTCCCAACCCTTCTAATATCTCCTGGTACTCCAGGATACCATTCCTTTCCAACTCTTCTAATATCTCCTGGTACTCCAAGATACCATTCCTTCCCAACCCTTCTAATATCTCCTGGTACTCCAGGATACCATTCCTTTCCAACTCTTCTAATTTTGAGTAGCATTAACGATTCACAAACATCATTGCGGAGATTTGTTTTTATTCCAGAAAAAAAATCCTTGACAGCGTGAACAAGAATAAAAGGTACTGTTGTGAATCGTTGATGCGACTTGATTTAAGTATCACTTAACATTTTGATGACGCTGCTCACTCACATTAATCTTCCGAAATCTAGCGTTGAGATCCCTGAAGATGGTTCCTTTGTTCGTCTCTCCTCCTCCTCATTCTGGTCCAGCTCAGCTCACTTCGGACAGAGGAATATTCAATAAACACAACTTTGTGAACATTAATGAGATGTTACAGTGAGACCTCTAAAACTATAGAATAGATAGACAGCATTTAACAATCTTGTGCGTATTTTATGCTTTTTTTTAAACGCAAATTAACTGATGAATTGCTATGTTTCTTGTTCATTGTTAAATCATAATTTGATTCTATACAGTCGTCTATTCTTTCAACAGTTTTATTTCCATTGAATATACACAAACAAATTTTTCCTACTTAATCTACGTATTTTGGGTCCGAGTCAGTTGCATTGCNTTTCCATGATCCAACTCTTTCTAATTTTCTATTATTTGTTTCTATACATATAAATACAAGAAGAAAATACTGAAAATTAACTGTAACCTATTTTATTCATACTAAAAACCATGCAAACTAATTATTATCAAGAAAGATTAATGCACTTTGTAAAAATTGGATGAAAAAATTGATAAAATTGTCATTAATCATTTTCTTCTTGCAATTGATTCTATTATGGTATTGCAATATATTACACAGTGATGAAGTGAGTTTTTCTATTGCTTCATATGTGCGAAAATGCGCAAGTCACTTTCGCAGAGAAACCGCAAATAAAAAAACAGTTTAAACAAACAAAAACTTTGATATCTATTTCAATTTTGGTCAAACAAAGTTTTTAATGGTACCGTTGTAAATCAGGGATTGTCATCTTTGCATGGAGGGTCACTTGAAATTACACTTGAAGTCCCTGTAACCTTTCCAGTCCATTAAACTATTTGTGTAGCACTGGATATAAATAGTACTTGTATCTTGCTGTAGTTTTAAAGGAATATCTGGAAAACTCCTGAGGACGTGTTTTTTTTTATTAATAACTGTTGAATATAATCAGAGCATCGTTTTCCTGGGACTCCCAACCAGCTAGCCTAGATATTAGGAATATATACAAAACAGAAGCAGGTGTATACAGGTTAGTATATCAGCTATATTGTCTAGATATTAGGAATATATACAAAACAGAAACAGGTGAATACAGGTTAGTATACCAGCTATATAGGCTAGATATTAGGAATATATACAAAACAGAAGCACTGTATAGCCTAGATATTAGGAATATATACAAAACAGAAGCAGGTGTATACAGGTAGTATATCAGCTATATAGTCTAGATATTAGGAATATATACAAAACAGAAGCATGTGTATATAGGTTAGTATATCAGCTGTATAGCCTAGATATTAGGAATATATACAAAACAGAAGCAGGTGTATACAGGTTAGTATATCAGCTATATTGTCTAGATATTAGGAATATATACAAAACAGAAACAGGTGAATACAGGTTAGTATACCAGCTATATAGGCTAGATATTAGGAATATATACAAAACAGAAGCATGTGTATACAGGTTAGTATATCAGCTATATAGTCTAGATATTAGGAATATATACAAAACAGAAGCATGTGTATACAGGTTAGTATATCAGCTGTATAGCCTAGATATTAGGAATATATACAAAACAGAAGCAGGTATATACAGGTTAGTATAATTTATAATCAGGACAGTGACAAAAAAAAAGAAAAATGAATCTTAATGGTTCAAAATTTATTTACGGAAAAATATATTTTTATATATGATCAATTTTATGACAAATTCAAATGTTTGTTACATTGAGTTTTATTTGATCCAGCTCACATTGTATAAAAGTAAAAAGTTCATTGCGTGCCAATTCAAATCAGTTGAAATAAAAAAAATCATTCTTTCTGGATATTGTAAAGCAATTTAATCAAGTATTCACGTACAACGTACATCAGAACTGAAATTGAGAATTGAATAATGAATGCTCGATTGAATAATTAATTTTCTGTTCAGATGTCGAGTTGACTTTAAAGAATCGCAAACAAGAAACCTGTTCGTAAATCTAACTGTTGTAGGTAAGAAACTACTGAATTAATCTTGATTTACATGTGCACTAAGTTTTTTTACAGGAAAAAAAGGTGATAGGGTTGGGACATTTTTTCATGTAAAAGCTAAAACTTGGTCCCCAGTTTTGTTTAATCTAATCTAACCTATCCTAATTGTTAAAAATAGTTTGTCTAAATCTAATCTAACCTATCCTAGTTGTTAAAAATAGTTTGTCTAAATTTAATCTAACCTATCCTAATTGTTAAAAATAGTTTGTCTAAATCTAATCTAACCTATCCCAATTGTTAAAAATTAGTTTGGTTAAATCTAATCTAACCTAATTGTCCAATATAGTTTGTCAAAATCTAATCTAACCTAACCTAATGTTAAAAATAGTTTGATTTTAATCTAATTTAGCATATCCTTATTGTCAAAAAAGTTTTGTTCAATCTAATCTAACCCAACCTAATTGTTAAAAATAGTTTGGTTCAGTCTAATCTAACCCAACCTGATTGTTAAATTAGTTTGTCCAACCTAATCCTTCCTAACCTAATTGTCCAATATAGTTTGTCTAAATCTAATCTAATCTGACCTAATGTTAAAAATAGTTTGGTTAAATTTAATCTAATTTAACATATCCTTATTGTCCAAAAAAGTTTGGTTCAATCTAATCTAATCTAACCTAACCTAATTATCCAAAAAAGGTTTGTTCAATCTAATCTAATCTAACCTAACCTAATTATCCAAAATAGTTTGGTTAAATCTAATCTAACCTATCCTATTGTAGATAGCTTGTTTCAGCCTATCTATCTTATTTAATATTTTAGAATAATCCTGGAACATTATTTAAATTAATCTGATTAGCACCCACCCCCCTCCTACTCCATACTCTGCCAAAATCAATACTCAATACTGAACCAATGTCCTGGAGTATTCAAAATATTGAATGAATTAATAAAGAAACAAATAATAATCATTTATTTCATATTTATGAATAGTTTAATATGCCTCAAGAAAACTACCGTCCCCGAACGTGTTTTAGAAACAAGTAAAACCGTTTATTAAAAAACTGAACAGAAAAAATTTGTTTGCTTTAGTAGACCTACACTTAAAAATGTAAATTATTTAGGAATAGTTTCAAGTATAATAGCTCTATATTCATGAATAGTTTCAAGTGTAATAGCTCTATATTCATGAATAGTTTCAAGTATAATAGCTCTATATTTAGGAATAGTTTCAAGTATAATAGCTCTATATTCATGAATAGTTTCAAGTATAATAGCTCTATATTTAGGAATAGTTTCAAGTATATTTATGAATAGTTTCAAGTATAATAGCTCTATATTTATAAATAGTTTTAAGTATAATAGCTCTATATTTATGAATAGTTTCAAGTATAATAGTTCTATATTTATGAACAGTTTGAAGTATAATAGCTCTATATATATTAAAAGTTTCAAGTATGATAGCTCTATATTCATGAACAGTATTCATGAATAGTTTCAAGTATAATAGCTCAATATATATGAATAGTTTCAAGTAAAATAGCTCTATATATATGAATAGTTTCAAGTATAATAGCTCTATATTTATGAATAGTTTCAAGTATGATAGCTCTATATTTATGAATAGTTTCAAGTATAATAGCTCTATATACATGAACAGTTTCAAGTATAATAGCTCTATATATATGAATAGTTTCAAGTATAATAGCTCTATATTTATGAATAGTTTCAAGTATAATAGCTCTATATTTATGAATAGTTTCAAGTTTAATAGCTCTATATTTATGAACAGTTTCAAGTATGATAGCTCTATAGTTATAAAACATCAGCATATTCTATATAAACGGATAATACTAATTTAAGTATTTAAAAAACTTGAATAACTTGCTAAACACGAATTAAAACTGCTGACAGGGATCAGAAAAGTTTTCTATAGATTTATTAAAACTTAGATTAGATATTTTAATCCTCAACTCAATATAGAAAATTATACTCCTCCGCTAAATGATGAAATTATTCAATCAAGTTTTTGACAACATTTTTATAATGTTTAAAAGAGCGGCTCATGCGGTTTATATTCACGAAATAAGGTAACCCACAAAGGTTTAAAACGAGGTCATAACAGTTTCTAAAATTAAAGGAATTTAATTTTTTTATGTGGCAAAAATCAGGAGTTTTTCTCTTGAATATAAGCTTTCTCTCAACTATCCTGATCTGCTCTAGTATACCTCCTGATTATCCTGATCTACTCTAGTACCTCCTGATATATGCTGATCTACTCTAGTACCTCCTGATATATCCTGATCTACTCTAGTACCTATATCCTGATCTACTCTAGTACCTCCTGATATATCCTGTTCTACTCTAGTACCTCCTGATCCTGTGCTGATCTATGACGAGGATGGGAATGAAAGAATGACGTTTGTTGGTCCGTACCTAGAAGGAGAGGATGCTAGATTAACCTGTAGAGCTTTTGGAGGTATAAACATACACACACTTCTTTATAACTGTCACAAGCACATGGATATGAAATAGATACCTATTTTACAAACTTAGTTTTTCATTTAATAACAGAGCAAGTCTTCTTTTAACATGCTGAAATTGGCAAATTTTGGGATAATATAAATCTAGAAATATCTAGAAAGTTTTATGTTCCTCAGGTTTAAAAAAATAAAATTAACTAAAAGAATTTCCTTTTTTGGTAAAAATACAGTTTTTAAAAATGAAATCCTATGTATTTTTTTTACTGTATTCTCTTGTGTATATATTCTAGACTTTAATTAACTGAATATTTGACTACTATATTTGTAGTTCAAATTTTAAATAAACTAGAGAGCAAACTAAAATTTAACCTTTTCGTTCATTTATCTTTTAACAACAAGTTAAAAGTTTTGAAGTGGAACTAAATTCTATGGTGCGAGAAGAACTGGTTGGAATTATTTTTAACATTCTCCAAGTTGTTGAAAACTTTGAGAGAACAGCTTATGGAGACAATCAATCCTAGTTTCTTGCACACACATATCTTCTCCTTAAACCAATCCTCAGCCAAACAACAGTTTCAGGGAATAAGATTTACTACAATATTTATATTGTGTATATGCAGATTCAGTATAGTATTTTTTTAATCAAATTCATTGATAAATTATTGTCTCTTATTTTTTTATATAATTATTAATTTGCGCTTATTAGTTTAGGCTCCTCTGGGTTATCGTAATCTTCAGATTCGTTGAGTAATTGCTGAATATGATCTGTTTAAGCTTTAAAAATATATATATGGTATAACGTTGACACAGTTTTATATCAATTTATCGAGACAGGGACATCAGATAGAACTCATGTAGGACGCGATCAACTCCTAAAGTGTCTAGGTTTCAGTCTAAACAACCTTTCATTTTTCCTTAACAGTCCCTTCCATTGGTTAGGTTTGACAATGTTTAATTAAGTTTAATATCTTTAATAAATGAATTAATTATTAAAAAATGGTTTGCTAGGCTACCCTGTCCCCAGAGTAGAATGGTTGCGGAAAGGAGCTGTTATTGATTCCACCTTCAAGGTTTCTCCAGATCAGAGAGAAGTTTCAAATCAAATAATTCTTCACAGGTTAATAATCTTCCTGCTCACTTCTTCAGCCTTCATCTTAACAATGCAGTTTTATGTTTAGTTCTTACTTTTCAAAAATATAATTTTTGGTTCATCTACAGTGGAAACCTAAAAAGTCTGGAATAGAAAAATGACTTTTAGACTAAAGTTATGACTCTAAATGGTCTATTGAACATGTGGAACAAGAATTGTCTAGTGTAAGCCGACCCATTTAACTTAATAAGTGATCTAATAAATTATTAGTGAAACTTTTTGCTTTATATCAACATCAAATACACTTAAGTATTGCTAAAATGTCGTCTTCATATTCCTCAGTTTTCTGGTTCTCTCTGTAATAAACAAACAGCCTTTCGCCATTATATATCTTCGAATACAGTTTTCAACTAAAATATTATATTTAGCTTTTTCTTATACTCTCCCTCGCTCCATTATCTTCAAACAATGTTTCCTTTCTAGTTTATTCTAGAGACAGATTTATCTATATGTTCAGGTTGAGTCGAGATTATCTTCACAGTGAACTAACCTGCTCCGTATCCAATACAAACCTAACCCGTCCTATCCAACACTCTCTGCACATAGATATGAACTGTAAGTCTTTCATTTTCTTCTCTGTCTAAATCCTAAAGTCATTTTCTGGTTTACATAAGATTAGGATTTATAGGTTTCCCTGCCTTAAACTGCATTTTATCTATAACCTTGCAATTTTACTGATAAAAATGCAACCTGTATATTTGTTTTCTTTATGTAATGAAAGGGATTGAAGATTAAATCTTTATTTAGAAGAGTGGTATGTCCGATTGACAACGGTGCTTTTTAACCTTTATCTCAACAACACTGAGGAAGACATCGTCATTTAAGTGTTCAATTTTGATAATTTCTATCTTCATCTTTCCAACTAAAATCCGCAAGTCAAGGGGGATAGTTTAAAGTGCTTATCCCATTATGAAAGAGATTAGCTCGTTCTGTTAATTTGTTCAAAAGTTCCCAGCTGTGGCTCAACCTAAATTGCTTTAATATACCTAGACGGGGCTGATTCAGTGCAGTTGTCCCGTTTTCTCTTGTATTGAATGTATGTGTACTGTACAGCTTGCCCTTGCTGCTAAAAAGTATGTCCGGTACTTGCAAAAACCGGAGTGAAATACTTTATGAATCTGGTGTTCCTTTTCTTATTGTTTGAGTTCATGAAGTGCATGAGTAGGTTAGATATACTCCTCTACTGCACCAAGAATATTAGAATATGAAAAATAAAAATATAATTGAAATTTTCGAGATAAGAATTTTCTAGCTCTAGCTTTACACTTAGAAATCAACTTTAGAGGGACTGTATTAGAGGGACTGTAGTAGAGGGACTGTAGCAGAGGGACTGTAGTAGAGGGACTGTAGTAGAGGGACTGTAGTAGAGGGACTGTAGCAGATGGACTGTATTAGAGGGACTGTAGTAGAGGGACTGTAGCAGAGGGACTGTAGTAGAGGGACTGTAGCAGAGGGACTGTATTAGAGGGACTGTAGTAGAGGGACTGTAGCAGAGGGACTGTAGTAGAGGGACTGTAGTAGAGGGACTGGAGTAGAGGGACTGTAGTAGAGGGACTGAAGTCCAATACGAAAATGTAGCTTTCAAGCCGGAAATATGACGATGTCTTCACATGTTTGATAAGATAAAGGTTTTAAGTGCACAGTTGTCAGGATACTTCATAAAATAATTATTTCAAATGAAAAAATATACAACTTTTTTCTGCTCAATTTAATAATACTGAAAAAAATAAAAAGTGAATTTTTTAAATATGTAATAGTTCCTTTCTATTTTAACGTAAAACCATCTTTGAAAAAATTTGATTTACAAAAAAGATAACCAACCACTTTCTTTATACAAATCCAATTGTCATGTTTTTTATGTTTGTTTATATTCAGAACAGTTCATTCTTCTACTTGTCCTTATTTACATTAGATTTGTCATTTATATTGTTTAGCTGTCAGAAACATGAAATTATTTAGAAAATTTGTTGAAATATGACGCAGCCATTTTTCATCCAGAAATTCTAGAAACGGCATTTTCTGTTTATAGAGTAAAGAGGCTCAAGTTTTTTTGTGGGGGGGGCATATGCTACTCTCCCCTATAGCTCAGGATCGAGGGGGGGGGAGGGGGTGTCTCCGTTAATAAGGAAATTTACAAAGATTAAAAAAGAGAAATAATAATATTTTAAAGTTTTTCTAAAAACGTAATTATTATTATACTTATAATACAGCTAGTTTAGTCGCTTTGACATGTTTAAACAAGGATTAAATATTATAATTAAAAATATAGATTTAGAGTAGTAATTGTAGAATTATGTTAACTCTTTTCACAGTACTAACAATACTATAACTGATAATATGATTGATCAAGTTGCTCCTGCTGATGTGAGTATCCGTCCCTCCTCTGCTGACATGTTGGTTGGGAAGGTTTACGAGATATCATGTTCTAGCTCCGGGTCCCGTCCTCCCCCTGTAGTTACCTGGTACCTGGATAATATCAGACTAGGTACCTTAACCCTCTTAGAATATCAATTATTATAGAATAACTAGTACTATAGTATTTGGTTTTAAAGTATTTTTATTCGATGTATTAAATATTCTGTTGCACACCTACCTGCACACAATTTCCCAAGTGGCAATGTTCCAAATATGCAATTTCCCAAGCGGCAAAAAAGGCTAAGTTAGGCCCTCTTAGGTGCCGCAGGCGCAGGTTAAAAAGGGGGTGAAGCGCTACGGCTATGATGGGCTAGAGGGCCTAGCGCCAGGGGTAGAACAGACTGGAGATCAAGCGCTGCGGCTAGGACAGAATTGGGAAGCCACCGCTTAAGAAATTGCTCATTTGCGAGTTGCCACTTGGGAATTTGTCACTTGGGAAGTCGTCCTTGGAAAAATGCCCTTTCCTAGGCTTTTAATTCTATTTCAACTTTTAATTGTGCAGCTCTATCGGTGAGCATCTTCTCTTTTTTGCAATATAAAACAATATCAATGAAAAAAGCTTGAAGATTTGTTAATATTTTTTCGTGGATTTTCAGAATTTTACAACTTTTTGAAAATCTAAGCATCGTGTAGTTGTCACGTTTGGCATATCCCTTACTGGGTTAAAATGTAACACATCTTCTATTGGCTTATAATTGCAACCTGTCTCCTACTGGATTATGATTGCAACCTGTCTCCTACTGGATTATAATTGCAACCTGTCTCCTACTGGATTATAATTGCAACCTGTCTCCTACTGAATTGTTTGTTACGTTTTACAACTGATTTCTAGCAGTTAATTGGTTCGAAAATAACAAATAATTAATAAATAAGTTAATCACCGTTTATGAGGATTATAAATATAGAAAATAAAGAAATTTACAGAACTTGCATTGCAGTTAATGAGGGAAAAGCGTTTTATTAGTCACATAAAAAAGGGACTGTAAGCGTAATTTAAAGTGACTCTCCATGCAAAGATGGCAATGATTGATTTACAACGGTATCCTTAAAACCTTATTCTGATAAAAAATGTGGAAGATATCGTCGTTTGTCTGACTCGAAAAGTGTCTTTTTTTCTGTGAGGTTTTTCATTGCTTCCCAAAAACAAGAAATGCGCAAGTCGCTTTCGCAGAGAAACCGCAAATAAAGAAACAACATTGATATATAATCTGATTATACTTGATCAGACAAAACTTTCAAGGGTACCGTTGTGAATTGGGCATTGCTATCTTTGCCCGGAGAGTCTCTCGAAATTACGCTTTCATCCCTTTCAGGAAAAGCTCTGCCTTTTCCAATCATTTTGTTTTCCCATCTCAACTAATTCAGAAAAATATTCTTTGCGATTGATTTATAGAAATAGAATACATTTATCATCAAAAAAATCATTTATTAAGTTTGGTTCGTTCTATTAGTTTCCTTGAATATATATATTTAAATATATACGATGCATGTTTTCAAAACATTATTTTTTTAATATTGTTTCTTTGATTTCTGATATAATTCTATAAGTTCTGATTTTTTTCCACAAAATAATCAATATTCAATTTTCATGTATTTCTTTCTTACAAATAAGTAGGTTCGTTCGGTTCAACCGTTACATATTTAATCGGAAAAAAATAAACTGACAACCTGCATCAATTTTATATGCAGTAACATTTTTTACAGTCGAAAATATATTATTAACCAGGTTTTATATTAAATATATTACAGAGGGGAGTTTGGAGACCTTCTCCAGTGATGGAAATAGCACAGAGAGTAGTTTAAGCTTGAACCCAACCCTGCAGTACAACACCAGAACTCTATCTTGTCATGTTTCTAATCCAGCAATACCACACTCTACAATAAAAGCAGAAACAGTTCTTAACATCCTATGTAAGTATTCAAAACCTTGAAATCAGAATCTAGGAAGGAACAAGTAAATAGGATATAGGAAGGTGATAAAAGTTGGATCTATGAAGATGATAAAAAGTAGGATCTGGGAAAGAGCTGGAAAGTAAGATCTTTGAAGGTACTTAAAGTAGAATCTAGGAAGGTGATAAAAAGCAAGGTCGGAAAGGTGCTTAAAAGTAGTTTACTTGAAATTAGGATCTAGGAAGGTACTAGAAAGTAGGATCTAGGAAGGAATCTAAGAAGGTGATACTGATAATAAGTAGGATCTAGAAAAGTTCTGGAAAGTAGAATCTAGGAAGGTGATAAAAAGTAGGATTGGGGGAAGGTGCTTAGAATTAGTATATAGGAAGGAGCTGGAAAGTAGGATCTAGGAATGGTTTAGAAAGTCGGATCCAAGATGAGATACTAGAAATTAGGTTCTAGGAAGGTGCTAGAAATTTGGATCTAGGAAGACGCTAGAATTTAGGATCTAGGAAGTAGTAGAAAGAAGGATCTAGGAATGAGCTTAAAATTAGGATCTAGGAAGTTACTTGAAAGTAGGATTTACGAAATTGGTAGAAAGTAGGGAGAAGGTGCTAGAGAAGTAGGATCTAGGAAGAAGGTGCTAGAAAAGTAGGATCTAGGTAGATTGTGCTAGAGAAGTAGGATCTAGGCCGAAGAAGGTGATAGAAAAGTAGGATCTAGGAAGATGGTGCTAGAAAAGTAGGATCTAGGAAGAAGTTGCTAGAAAAGTAGGATCTAGGAAGAAGGTGCTAGAAAAGTAGGATCTAGGAAGAAGGTGATAGAAAAGTAGGATCTCGGAAGAAGGTGATAGAAAAGTAGGATCTCGGAAGAAGGTGATAGAAGCAGGATCTAGGAAGAAGGTGCTTGAAAAGTAAGAAATTAAAAATGTTGGAACGAAACCGAGCGGATGACACCAAAAAAGGACATAAGTAGGAGGAGAGCATGATTTAAAAAATAAGAAATTTGCAAGAATGAGGTGGATCAGGATACGATCTATAAAGATTAAGAAAAGATCGAAGAAACATTAAGGAAGGATAAGAAGTGGATAGAAGAGTGCATAAGAAAAGTGTTTTGGAAGGATGTTTAGGAAGGGTTTAGGAAGGTTTTATGGAAGGAAAATTTAGAAGGCTTCAGGAAGATTGTTTTGGAAGGATTGAGGAAGGATGTTTTAGGAAGGATGGTTTGGAAGGTTGTTTTGCAAGAATTCAGGAAGGATGTTTTGTAAGGTTTAGGAAGGATGTTTTGGAAGGATTCATGATGATAGTTTTGGAAGGTTTAGGAAGGATGTTTTGGAAGGATTCAGGAAGATTGTTTTGGAAGGTTTAGGAAGGATTCAGAAAGGATGTTTTGGTAGGTTGTTTTTCCAGGTTCTCCCGGTCCATGTTACGCCAACTAAACTCTATTCTCTAGTTTATTAAATACCGCAGTTATATATTTTCTTTACGTGACTTATTCACTTATCCTTTCATTAACCCCCGACCCCCTTATCTGGTTCCTTGTTGTATTCTTTTGTTTCAAGTGACCTTCCATTTAAGGCGGGGCATTCATGATTCAAACCCTTTGAACCTTTAAACAGGCTACCTCTTAAACCTTTTCTGATCAAAAATGTGGAAGATATTGTCGTTCTTTTATCTTGATAAGTTTTAGTTAAGAAAATTTCCCCCATTTTTTATGAAGCCGAAATTTAAAGAAAGGCCTCAATCAAAAATAATCAACTTTCAAACAGTAAATGACTGTATTCTCTTTACAGTTTACAGTTTTTCCTTTTCTTCCCTCTCTTCCTTTATTCGCCAAAACTTTATTTTAAGGTAGAACTCTGTTTATTTAGCTTATCCAGCTCATCCAGCTCATAGCTCACCCTGCTCATCCAGCTCATTCAGCTCAAGAATGATTAAAATGTAAAAAATTGTACTTTAGATCCTCCGAATGTTGAGCTGAACCTTGGTCGATCTATCTCTAGCTCTGCTATATACGAGGGTGGAGATGTATATTTTGACTGTAAGATTGGATCCAACCCTGCCCCTACTTATGTCTCGTGGTTTCTCAATGTAAGACATTTACTTTTATAATTTGACCTTCTAAATGAAACACGATTTGAAACTATTTTTGTATTTTCCTCTTCACAAATTAATCACAGTTCTCTTGTGATTTATTAATCTAATTGATTGTCAGCACAAAAACTAGTGCATTGTAAGGTTGTTAGTTTCATAATATTGTTGACAACTCGTTTTACTTTTATAACCTAATACTTTATTGAAATAGTTGTTTAATGTTGTATTCCCTGGTTGGGATAATTTCAGGTTCCAAATGCTAGTCATCAATAATGTAAGTTTTCTACATTTTCTTCAATCGCATTTATTTCAAGAAACTCTGAATACCTTAATTCTTAACCCTGGAGTAAAAGTATCCTAGTATAATGCCAACCTAATCAACATAAACTCCATCAGGTTCCAAATCCGAGCATATTTTCAAGAATGTAGGATTACTAGGGATATCAGAAATACATACCAGGGATAACAGGGATACCAGGGATACCAGGGATACTAGGGATACCTGGGATACCGGGGATTCCAGGGATACAAGGGATACCAGGGATAACAGGNATACCAGGAATACCAGAGATACCAGGGATACCAGGAATACCAGGGATACCAGGGATGCCGGGGATACCAGGGATACCAGGGATACCAGATTATTTCGCATTTTTATTTGATGTTTAAGTGTTCTGAAAAGAAGAAAACCACTCTTGTTTTAATCTGTCTAGATACTTGAGTTTAAGTGTGAAGATTAAACTTTTCAGCTGAAGAAATGTTTTTGTTTCCTCTGTATACATCGTACACGGTACAGTGTACATAGAACATCTCAAATAAAAATTAATTGAAAAAAAATCTTATGAAGACTATGTTTCATCAGTTTTATTATAAATAAAGATATACAATAAATTATATCGAATTTACCATGCAATCCTCCCCCCCCCTCCCATCCTCCGGTAATAATTTGATTATCACGCGTCGCAAAATGTTTCAATTTTGTAAATGAAAATTCCTAGATTTCATTAAAGTAATGGAAAACTAGAATATTTCAATTGTTGATAAATTAAGATGAAATGATTCTCATTATTCGCTTATTTCTACTCTATTCCGTATACAGAGGGAGTTCTTGGGCCGCCATGAACCCCACGAAATGGTCTTTAATCCACAGAATTTGCAGAATGCTTGCCGAGTTTCGCAAAACAAGCTCCGAGCCTCGCATTCTGGCTGTGCCGGTTGGTTTATATCTTTTACTTGACCTTTGTTGCTTGGCAAACCAGAAATCATCAAACATTTCCGATGAGTTTGATGTATTAATTTCAATTTTATGGGACTATAACCGGCACATAGATTCAGCCTCCTTATAAACAGTCTCATCAATTTTTAAGACAGGGCTGACTTTGAACTGTCGCAACGCCCTAAGCTTTGATTTTACCGCTCTAACTCACTTATGCTTTTCAGTAGCCCTTTACATGTACATTTTAGCAATGTAAAGCACTTCTTGTTAGATTTGGTTTTTTTGAAGTAATTGGCAAAATTCTCAACGATTTTTGCTTGAGAGCGTGAGACTATTAAATCGCAGTGAACCGTAGTTTTAAGTAACCCATACATGCAAATATGGCAATGCCCGATTTACAAATGTAATCTTTATGGGTGACCAGCTGCAGTAACCTACAACAGATCATTAAATTTACAGTTAAAAGCAATGAACTAAATGAATAATGCAATGGAGTTGAGTCTTTGACACAAACTCGGATTTTCTAATACCTATATCTCTGCAACCCAATGTCGTAGACCTTAGATATTTCAAACTATGAATTATGTTGCATCAAATTATCTTAGTTTGAAATATCAAAAGTCTTTAATTTCTACACAGTTTTATGTTAATTTCTCGAGACAGGAACATCACATAGATGTCTTATAGGAATAGCTCAACTCCTGAAATTCTCAGGTTTCAGCCTATACCTCCTTTCATTTTTCCTTTACAGTCCCTTTAATGTTAAAAGTCTCCAGATTGGATATCTAGATCAAGAATTCAAGATTTACGATATTCCAAACAGGCCGCACACTTCAAAACTTCAACTTCAAAATGATAAGCAATATTTTGAATTAACAGAGAAACAAAAGACGACAATCCCTCCGATGTTTGTTTGTTAGTAGTGTAGAAAAAAAATTATTTTCTACTTTCTTATTACATAGACTTATTATAAAAGTATTGAAAATACATATTATTAAAATAGGATAAAGAAAATAGAAATAAGAAACCGGATTTAAGTGAAGGGGGAAAAAGCAGAAAAAACTAATTTGAGAAACATTTCCATGCACAATGAAAAATCTTGTTCATGCCCCACTTGTATGCCGATTTCATTAGCGCCTGATCCAATCAGGGTTCAGTCATGTGTTTGTTGTCTATTCTGGACCAATAGAAATTGTTTATCGGTAACATTTATCTTTCTATCTATCTCATCATCCTATTAGAGATATGAATCCTTCAATCGACACTATCAGTAAATGGAAATATTTACTTCTTCTGAAACAATATTGTTGCATGGAATAAAGAATGAGGATCAAAATAAAAATAAATAGCAAAAAAATTCCAACGCACTTTAAAAAATTTGAAGTGGTTCTTTAAGTTTGAGAAAAAGTCCCCATTTTCCATGCATTTAAGAAGTATAACTGGTTCAAATGATTAAAAAATAAGAATTGAAATAAGAATAAAAAAGCAGAAAATAAAACCTCCATTCACTTCAATGGATTAAACTTTCTTTCTCTTTTTTTCGAAGCTTTAAAAGAACTATATAAGTCCCCACACACACTAATTTTCTAATCCTTACATTTTCTCACCCTGATATCGTAGACCTTGGATATTTTAAGCTATGAATTTTGCTTTATTAAAAAGTCAAAGATTGAAATACACCATCAGATTGCAAAGATAAAAGAATTGAAAGCTCGAATTTGTGGCAAGTATTGAGTTCTTTCCCGTAAACAATGAATTAATCAAGATTGTTTAATGTAAACTTCAATTAAATCATCTCATTAGCAAGATTCAATATGCATTGCAACGGAGGCCAATAAATTAACGGTTTCCGAAATTAATTTCGTTAGATTTGATTCAGCTTCAAAATATTGATATTTTTTTTCAAAAAGATTTTCCTTTTTCTTTTAAATCTCCTCTTTCCCCCACTACATTCTTTCCGATCATTTATTTCCCCGTCCTCTGCTATTTTAGCTTTTTATCAATCATTTATTTTGTTCTGCATCAAACGAAGTAATTTTTTAGAAGAAATATTTTTTTTAAACGGTTAAACATTGGTCTGTGTCGTATGTAAAGCCTTTTTTCATTCTTTTTAAACTGCATTCTTTCCAACTATTCTTATTAATTTAAATCTACTTTTTCAAATAAATAACATACATTCAATCCTTTTCAACCTTACTGGTTCTAAACTTCCCTTCCCTCTCAAATTCTCTCTTTCAGTTTCTCTTTATATGTGTTACCATATATTTTTAATCCCAAATTCTCTGTTTCCGTTTCTCTTTATATGTGTTACCATATATTTTTAATCCCAAATTCTCTGTTTCCGTTTCTCTTTATATGTGTTACCATATATTTTTAATCCCAATGATTCGAACTGCAAATTTTCCAATTGACTTCCAATGAAAAAAGTACTTTTCACAGAAATGACCCGTTCCCTCTTCCTCGCTCCCTTCAACCCCTTCCCCTTACTTAACAGCACCCCATTCCCCCCTCTTCCTACCTCCTATTTCCCATCCTTCCCCCCCCTTATTTTACCTTCACCTTCTTACTACCCCCCCCTTTCCCTACTCTCTTAATCCATTAAGTTTTTATTTAAGTTTTTATTAAAATCGAAAAAATGTTAAATCACATTGATTTGAACTTGACTTTTGTGCAGCTCACAAACACCGGTTACAATCCATTCAACTGTAAAATAAAATTGTAGCAATTTTATTAAATTACCTTGTTTTGTTTTTATCAGAAGTAGGAGGGAGCTTATTTATGAAAAGCTGGTGTCTTTACTTTATTGTTCACTTTTTGTCCGAAAAAAAACCCAAAGAATAATATTTACTACTGCCTAATTTTTTAAAGGATTTATAGCGGGAAGTTGGAGCTTTATGAGTCCCACTCTAAATACAGTGGGAAAACTTTTAAATTTTAGTTTTAATTATCCACGGTTTAAGACCACCACAGTGTATCCAAGAGCAATACTTTAATCCCTAGGTTAAAACATGATAAAAAGACTTAGCTTTTTCTCAATTCTCATAAACCAGTTTAATTAGAACCACTCTTCTCATAAACCAGTTTAATTAGAACCTCTCTTCTCATAAACCAGTTTAATTAGAACCACTCTTCTCATAAACCAGTTTAATTAGAACCCCTCTTCTCATAAACCAGTTTAATTAGAACCTCTCTTCTCATAAATCAGTTTAATTAGAACCCCTCTTTTCATAAACCAGTTTAATTAGAACCCCTCTTCTCATAAACCAGTTTAATTAGAACCTCTCTTCTCATAAACTAGTTTAATTAGAACCTCTCTTTTCATAAACACGTTTAATTAGAACCTCTCTTCTCAAAAACCAAGTTTAATTAGAACCTTTATTCTCGTAAACCAGTTTAAATAGAATCTCTCTTCTCATAAACCAGTTTAGTTAGAATATCTTTTAGAAACCCGTTTATAATGTTATTCTTGATAATAATTCTGGGAAATCGAAATTAAATGTTAAAGTATTGTGCTTTTATCTAAACTGCACGATTTTAAAACTCCTGTTTACGGTACTAATATATATCTTTTTTACTGAAACTAATATATCCTGGTTACTGTACTAATATATCCTGGTTACAGTACTTATAAATCCTGGTTACTGTACTAATATATCCTGGTTACTGTTCTTATATATCCTGGTTACTATACTAATATATCCTGGTTACTGTTTTTATATATCCTGGTTACTGTAGTAATACATCCTGGTTACTGTACTTATATATCCTAGTTGCTGTTGAAGGGTTTGTTAAGTTTCTCCAAGTAGTTTCTAACATGATTATACAAACTTGAAATACTGAAAACTTAATCCTCTGCATATTCATCGTTTACAGTAAAATTCAAGGTTTTCTTGTTTGTCCTCGTCTCAATAGTAGATAGATCTTGTCCTCGTCTCAACAGTAGATATATCTTGTCCTCGTCTCAACAGTAGATATATCTTGTCCTCGTATCAACATTAGATAGATCTTGTCCTCGTATCAACATTAGATAGATCTTGTCCTCGTATCAACAGTAGATAGATCTTGTCTTCGTCTCAACAGTAGATAGATCTAGTCCTCGTCTCAAGAGTAGATAGATCTTGTCCTCGTATCAACAGTAGATAGATCTTGTCCTCGTATCAACAGTAGATAGATCTAGTCCTCGTCTTAACAGTAGATATATCTTGTCCTCGTCTCAACAGTAGATATATCTTGTCCTCGTATCAACAGTAGATAGATCTTGTCCTCGTATCAACAGTAGATAGATCTTGTCCTTGTATCAATAGTAGATAGATATTGTCCTCGTCTGAGAGTCCACAAAAAAAATTCAGCCCAATCGGTCAAGCCGTTTGGCCGGCTATAGGCAATATACGAATGTCTTGTTTTATTATATAGATATATAACGTAGGTTAAAGATTTTCCATAGGCTAGCATACATTTGGTAAAGGAATTGAGTTTTTGCCACAAACTCTGATTTTATAATCACTATATCTTTGGAACCAAATGTTGTAGACCTTAGATATTTCAAACAATGAATTCTGTTAAATCAAGTAATCTGAGTTTGAAATATCAAAAGTTTACACCATCGGGTGCTAAAGATATTGGGGTTTAAATATTTGATTTTGTTCCAAAGACTCAATTCCTTTAAAGTCGCTACTAAATGCAATTCAATGAATAGATAAAAATATGAGCAAGTATATATTTCTCTGTTTGAAATATATGAAATAATATTGTGTTCTGGTTTGTGTTAGTGACAACCTAGAAAATAACGTAAATAAAGTGTTTGTACAAACCAGAGTTCTTTGTAAAACAAACTCTGGGGAGTGAGTAAACAAACAAACGAATAAATACAAACACAACTTGAAAGTTGTATATTATATATATATATATGTGTGTATATAGAAACAAAGTTAAATACAACCGGGGTTTTCTGTCTTTTTCCGCCAAACAAAAAGGTAGAGAGAAACATTAATCTTAATATAAACCTGCTGATACTTTGATTTCAAATGTGTTATATAAACTTTAATATATGTGATTTATTTTGGACTATGATATACAAGCTAAACTAGAAACTATGATATACAGGATACACCGGAAACTATGATATACAGGAAACACTAGGAACAATGATATACAGGATAAACTAGGAACTATGATATACAGGATACACTAGGAACTATGATATACAGGATAAACTAGGAACTATGATATACAGGATACACTGGGAACTATGATATACAGGATACACTGGAAACTATGATATACAGGATACACTGGGAACTATGATATACAAGATAAACTAGGAACTATGATATACAGGATATACTAGGAACTATGATATATAGGATATACTAGGAACTATGATATACAGGATACACTAGGAACTATGATATACAGGATACACTAGGAACTATGATATACAGGATACACTAGGAACTATGATATACAGGATACACTGGAAACTATGATATAAGGATACACTAGGAACTATGATATACAGGATATACACCGGAACTATGATATACAGGATAAACTAGGAACTATGATATACAGGATATGCACTTGGAACTAAGATATATACAGTATGCACTATAAAATATGATGTACAGTATGCACTATAAACTATGATATACAGGATGCACTATAAACTATGATGTACAGTATGCACTATAAACTATGATGTACAGTATGCACTATAAACTATGATGTACAGTATGCACTATAAACTATGATGTACAGTATGCACTATAAACTATCATGTACAGTATGCACTATAAACTATGATGTACAGTATGCACTATAAAATATGATATACAGGATGCACAAGGCATTCCTAAAACTTCAATACTCGGATCAGCAAGAAGCTGAAGTACAACTGAAAACTACTTGTTTATTCAACCAAGATGTTTCTAGGCTTTAGAGAATATGTTTAGATATGATTTGTAACAGTATTTAATTCCAGGATGTGGAGATAAAGCAGAATGTAGAGCGAGGTGTTATTTTTACAAACCAGAGTCTTGTTCTCCAGAAGATATCCAGGAACCAGAGCGGGAACTATCTCTGCGAAGCAACAAACCCTGTTGGGAAGGGTCGGAGTCAACCTATCTTTTTAGATGTTAAATGTAAGTTTTTCCAGGAAAGTTTTTTAACTTTAATCTTCTTAACATCATGTTTCAAATCCATCCTGCTTTATCTTCTTAAACATAACTACGAAGCCGTAGACAATTTAGGTTCAGAATACAAAACAAATTAAAATTTCCATTATAAAACAGATTTTAAACTCTTCTCAGGTAGATAATATAAGTCTGTAAGATTCTATTAAAACTTTATTTATATTTAAGAAATTAGATTTTGTTTTAGTAAGCTTTTTTACTGTTCTAAATGAACTGTTTTACTGTTTTACACAGCTGTTTTAATACATTTATTATTTATTTATACATATGCCACTGTTTTATCAAACTGTCACATTTTTACTTAACTGTTACTTTTTACTCAACTGTTACGGTTTTACTCAACTGTTAATGTTATACTAAAAGTTTACCATGTTTACTAAACTGTTACGGTTTTACTGAGCTGTTGCGGTTTTCTTATCTGTTACTGAAACTTTTTTACAGAGAGAACCAAACAAAAAAATATTAGAACAGGAAGACGGCATTTTAGAAGCATTTTGTGTATTTGTTGTTGATATCAAGCAAAAAGGTTTACCAGTAGCTTCATGATCAACGTAGGTCTCTGTAAACTGCACAATTGCCGTGTTTGATGTTCAATTAACTATCCAAAATCATAAGTTTAGTATAACAGTCGCCTTCTAATTCCAATGTTTTATGGATCTTACTGCACTACGCTGTAATTTACTGTTACCATTTAACCAACCTAAATCGTTACTGTTTTACTAAACTTTTACAGTTTTACTAAACTCTTTCCGTTTTACTAAACTCTTGCTGTTTTACTAAACCGTTACTGTTTTACTAAACTTTTACTGTTTTACTAAACTATTACTGTGTACTAAACTATTACTATTTTACTAAACCGTTACTGTTTTACTAAACCGTTACTGTTTTACTAAACCGTTATTGATTTACTAAACCATTACTATTCACTAAACTTTTTCAGTTTTACTAAATCGTTACTGTTTTACTAAACCGTTATTGTTTTATTAAACCGCTGCTCTTTTACTAAACCGTTACTGTTTAACTAAAACATTACTGTTTTACTAAACCGTTATTGTTTTACTAAACCGTTACTGTTTTACTAAACCGTTACTTTTTTACTAGACCGTTCCTGTTTTACTAAACCGTTACTGTTTTACTAAACTGTCGCTGTTTTACTAAACCGTTTCTGTTTTACTAAACCGTTACAGTTTTACTAAACCGTAACTGTTTTACTAGACCGTTACTGTTTTTACTGTTTTACTAAACTTTTACAGTTTTACTAAACCTTTACTTTTTTACTAAACTTACAGTTTTACTTAACCTTTACTGCTTTACAAAACTTTTACAGTTTTAATAAGCTGATACTTTTTAACTAAGCTGTTACTGTTATACTAAACTGTTACTGTATCACCAACCTTACTAATAACCCTGATTATTTATCTAGATGTTCCTGTATGTAAGACGGATAAGCCTAAGATCTACGGAGTATCTAAGCGTGAGCTAGTCAACGTGCTCTGTCAGGTTGAATCCAACCCTCCTGAGGTTGAGTTCAAGTGGACCTTCAACAACTCCGCGGAGATGATCAAGGTTCCGGTAGGACGGAGTCAGGATAATAGATCTAGTAGCGTACTCAGCTATACTCCTCTTACTACCATGGATTTTGGAACTATAATGTGTACTGCGATGAATATGGTCGGAACTCAGAAGAATCCTTGTGTATTTCATATCATAATGGCAGGTTAGGAAAAATATGGAAAAGGAGAAACTGATCCTAAGAAGAGGATTTCTTACTCTTTCACTCCAAAGAGAATAATTGAGTTGTGAATATTAGATATTTTATAATCATTTCTCTACCTTTATCGCCTTTATAAAATATCTTAAAAAAGTACATAAAGGAATTGAGTTTTTGCAACAAACTCACATTTTCTAACCCCTATAGCTTCGCAACCTGATGGTGAAAACCTTTGATATTTCAAACTTAGACTATTTGATCTAACAGAATTAATAGTTTAAGATAACAAAGGTCTAGTAGGAGAATGGATTGCTAAGTTATAGGAATTAGAAAGCCAGAGTTTGTTGCAAGTAATCATTTCCTTTTGCCTAGATTGAGTGAAATCATTTTGAGATTTTTATTCAATGATTTTTTTAATCAATGTCAATTAATAAATAACGAATAGATAAAGGATGAGGAAAAAATTAATAACGGATCAATGATCAATGATAAAGGATAAGGAATGAAGGTTAAAGGATAAAAGATAAAGGATAAAATATAAGGGATGAAGGATAAAAGATAAAGGATGAAGGATAAAGAATAAAAGATAAAGGATGAAGGATAAAGGATTAAAGATAAAGGATGAAGGATAAAGGATAAAAGATAAAGAGTTAAGGATAAAAGGATGAAGGATAAAGGATAAAAGATAAAGGATGAAGGATAAAGGATTAAAGATAAAGGATGAAGGATAAAGGATAAAAGATAAAGAGTGAAGGATAAAGTATGAAGGATAAAGGATAAAAGACGAAGAATAAGGATAAAGGGGGAAGAGGGAAGGATAAAGGATGAAGGATAAAGGATGAAGGATAAAGGATAAAAGATAAAGAGTTAAGGATAAATGGATGAAGGATGAATTAAGGATATAAAGGACGAAGGATAAGGATAAAGGATGAAGGATGAAGGGTGAATGATAAAGGATGAAGGATAAAGGATGAAGGATAAAGGATGAAGGATAAAGGATGAAGGATAAAGGATGAAGGATAAAGGATGAAGGATAAAGGATCAAGGATAAATGATAATGGATACAGGCTAAAGGATAAAGAATGAAGGAAAAAGAAGAATGAAGGATCAGTGATAAAAGATAAAGGAGAAAGTATAAAGGATGAAGGATAAAGGATGAATTAAAGATAAATGAAGGATGGATATTAAGTACGAATGAAAAATTGATAAAGGATGAATAAAGGAGGAAAGAAGGATTGATGAAGGATGAATAAAGGAAAGATGAAGGATTCATCAAGAATGCATCCTACTACTAGGAAAGTATATTATGTGAGGAAATGCTACTGTCCAGATCCCTGTCAACTCTAATATAAGAAAGTTGAATAAAATAAAATTCTAGAAATTGGTCAGAATTCTCTTTTCTGAATATATCTATATCTATCTATTTATCTATCTATCTTTTTTGGACAGTATCGGAAAACACTTTTTAAGTTTTTATCTGTCACTTTTGAGAACTCTGGAATTTACACGTGTGGGTTCTTATAGTTGTACTGGACCTCCTTAACCTTGAAGACCTCGTGGTCCTTCTGGGCCTCGTTAACATCCTGAACCTCCTAGACCTTCTAAACTTCATGGACCTATTGGACCTACTGTTCCTCCTGGTCCTCCTGGACCGGTTGGACCTAATGAACCTCCTGAACCTTGTTGACTTCCGGAAATATCTGGACCTTTTGAACCTCCTGGACCTTTTGTACCTCATGGAACCTCATGGAATCTTGTTGACTTCCGGGATCTCCTGGACCTCCTGGACCTCTGAACCTACAGCAACGATGAATATATTATTTGATTATATACAAAACAATGTTGGCTACGGGTGACAAACCTTGGATTGGTTTTGCACAGTTTGAAACTGGTTTAAACTCCAATTATAAACTACGAAATTCAGTTGAATGCATTTATACATTCAATATCTATATATCGAAATAGATTCAGATACAAATTCGTTTCAAATGCCTGGATGTAGGAAATTTTTTCTGCTTTTTTTTGCTTTTGTATAATTGACATATATTTCATATTTATTACAAACCTTTCAAAGAGAGATTGATTTTATCCGGTTTTTTTCTTTTCTCGAGCATTGTGCAATATTTAGTATTTTCTGTAACAAGGAAAATCAAAAGTATAGAAAATGCAGGAATTATATTACTCTGATACTCTGCTTAGTCTTTCAAACACCCTTCAACTATTCCTCAAATAAAAGACTAAACTTAAACGTTAGAAAGCAGCCTTTTATGGAAAATATTATAAATTAAATTCTAATTTAAGTCGTTTTTCGACTCATGAAATAGAAAATTGAAATTTTATCAAGTTTTTGAAAAATTCCTTTGGCAATACATGACAAAATAATTTTGAACGTATCTGAAATACATGAATAGTACTTTTTGAATAATAAATAATGTCGTCATTACAAGTTTATGTTAATTTCTAGTTTTTAAGGGAATCTTCCATTCCAACCAAATAAAGAAAATGAGATATTGATTTTTAAGGGGCACTAAGCACCCTCAATTCTAGGTTCACACTAAAATTGCACAGACACACACTAAACACTCACACAAACATCTTTTCTTTCTATCTCATCCTTACAAAACAAGATAAGAATGAATTAGTGAAAAGTATATTTAGTTTAAGATCTAATGTAGGATTGCATGTTTAGAATAGATTCCTCGTTACTCCTTCTTCCATTCTTCTTTATACTAGATCTATCATTCCTCTTTCCTCCTATCTTTGATTCCTGATTTAATAGTTCTTCGGATCTTCATGATTCTTCCTTGTAGATATATATCCTTGTTGTCCTTTGTTTATCCTTTTTCTATTCAGACTCTTTTCTCGTGTAACTAAATATAAAATGTTATTAGTGTTGTGAACTGTTTATTTTGAGATAACATGTATTTTATTAAGATATTAAGTGAATAGTACTTTTAATTTATGTTTTGAGCCCTCCCTTTTTTATCTAAAAGAACACAGAAACTATAGGGGTCCAAAAAGGGTTCGTGAAAATACAAAAGTCTCATCTAGTAGTTCTAAGTATGACCCGGAGCTAAAGTACGATGTCTAGACTCGTACCGGGCTGGATAAAGAGAGAAGGACGGACGGAGCGTTGAAATCTTCAGTCTGACACAACCCATCGAATGAAATCACTCCTATCCTCTTTCATGCCTCTCCTTGCCAACAATTAGCTACTACCATCTATTAGAAGAATTTTAAACCCCCTAAAATTGAATAAATCTCACTATAAAACCATCCATCGTTCATTATTTTGACACCAAGTTTAAATCCAAGTAAAGTATCATTTTCCCTAAATTTGTCAGACTCCACGCTAAAGGGATCAAGTCTTTAATGATACATATCAGTTTGACCATTTTCAAAATCAATGTTCGATCTCCGATCATGGAAAACTGGGTTCGAAACTTTTATATTGGTAATAACTTAAGGTGTGTGTATAGTTTGTCCAACGAATTAAGTTATTTCCTCTTAGATATCTGTAGTTGTCTGACTAATAAATGCCACAAAGTCTCTTTTGGCCAATGAGAAGTTGTAAACATTCAATCAGCTGTTTTTCCCGGATTACGTCACTTAATCACTTCGATCAATTCAAGTTAAAATTTTACGCTGTGAATATCGATTTAAGTCGTTGAAAATTAACACTAGACGACCATTTCTTTTTGGTAAGAAACTAATAATTTATTCAAGGGAAATTAGCATGCTAAATGTAGGTTAATTAGACGCTAGATCCCTTTCTTATCCTTGCCAGCTTATTAACACAGTTTCAATTTTACACAATGAAACTAATTACCAAGTGCGCAACTATAATTCAAATTGCAATAGATTAATTATTTAGTTTAGGTTTAGAGCAACAGCTCTATATAGTTCAGTTTTAGATCAATTGCTCTAAATAGTTCAGTTTAAGATCAACTGCTCTATATAGATCAGGTTTAGATCAACTGCTCTATATAGTTCAGTTTTAGATCAACTGTTCTATATAGTTCAGGTTTAGATCAACTGTTCTATATAGTTCAGGTTTAGATCAACTGCTCTATATAGATCAGGTGTAGATCAACTGCTCTATAATTCAGGTTTAGATAAACTATTCTATATAGTTCAGTTTTAGATCAACTGCTCTATATAGTTCAGGTTTAGATCAACTGCTCTGTATAGTTCAAGTTTAGATAAACTGCTCTATATAGTTCAGGTTTAGATCAACTGCTCTAAATAGTTCAGGTTTAGATAAACTGCTCTATATAGTTCAGGTTTAGATCAACTGCTCTATATATATAGTTCAGGTTTAGATAAACTGCTCTATATATATATATATAGTTCAGGTTTAGATCAACTGCTCTATATAGTTCAGGTTTAGATCAACTGCTCTATATAGATCAGGTTTAGGTCAACTGCTCTGTATATATCTGTACTAGCATGCATGGAAATCTGAACAATTCTTCAACCTAATCCTAGAAATCGTCTGGAGTTACCACATCAAGTTTGAGGCAAATCGGTGAAGGAGTTAATGAGTTATTATCGAATAAAAACAGAAATGTTTACTTTATATTTATAGATACACTAGCATGGGAACCCAGCTGTGGCTGGAAACTAAGTTTTCCTATAAAAGTCAACTTACTCAAATTATAATTTGTATAATTTGTAAACAAATCTAAGAACATTCTCGTGGTTCTATAACCGAGTTCTCCTATAAAATTTGAGGCAAATCGGTCCAGGGGTTCAGGATTTATGATTTATGGTTTAGTACTTCTAGCTTATTCATTAAAAATATACCGCCCTTAAGTAAAGTCTTCATGAGTAATACCGAAAGTAGAAATTGTTCAGAACAGAGGCAAAAAATGGTAAAAAAAGCCCGAAAATGGCCAAACAAACTCGCAAAATGGCTGGCCCATTTAGGAAAATAATTTTTAAATTTCGTTTTTGAACTATTTTTACCTAATGCTTCTAAAACATGTGTCGCACATCTGAGAATTTTTTTCAGGGCCACCCTAAGGGAGGGGAGGGGGATATTGGTGACATCCCCTCTGAGAAACTGTGGATTGTTAATCCCTTCCCGGAAAATTGAAGGAATGTGATAAACTCTTAATTCTTCTTAATCAAATTTTTCATGTAAAAAAGTACTTTTAATCCCAACTCAAACCATATTCAGTTACTAATATTGAAATATAGGTTTTCTCACAACTTTGACAAGTTGTAAACTGGACTCAAGTATAGAAAGGAACAAATATGAAACCTGGAATATTTCTGGAATCTAATTTGAAGATATCTAATGTATGGGAAAACTCATAATATTGGAGACATAATGCTGTAATATAATGAATTTGGGTTTGAATATAATTGAATCCCAGACTCAATAATCATACCACAAATATGGTATTACGTATTATTATTATTATTATTATTATTATAGTATTACGTGATTGATTGATAAAATGATGAGATACTGCTGCTGCGGAGATTTTCGTCGATGATGAAATTACAAGAACTGGAGATAAAGAAACTGATTAGACATATACTTGAGGAATGGAAGGATGGATTATTGAATGGAAGTGGTAAAGGTTAAAAAATACTTTACTGCCCTGTAAATCTGATGTTAGTGCACTAATCCAGGCATTAAACAAAGAAATGAAAGGTTTTTTTTATCTTTTACTGATTTTTTTCCATTAAAGTTTGTTCTAAGGATAAACTTATGATTTATTACTTAGATATAACTAAAGGTGTGTCTACTGTCTAAGTGAGAGGGAGGGGGGGGGGGGGCGGGATTAAAAAAATTACCTTTAGATGTTCTTTAACATCCGTTTACGTCCTTTGTTTAGATGAAAGATAAATCATATTTTGAATAGTGAATAATATGAAGTGTAAAAATAGTTTGATTAAGAAGGTGTTTTGAGAACTATTTAAATAACTAGGCTTTTAGGGCGCTTCGGCCCATCTTCTATTTCAACTATTAATTGTAGCTTTATATGTGAGCATCTTCCCAGGACCACTGATGGACATTATTTAAGACACGTTTTTAGCTATTCAACATTTTTAGACTTTTAATTGTCTTCACAAGAATCTCAGTTGTGAATCCCATTTTAAAATTGCATACTTGATAAGTTTGCTTTGTTTACATTGTACACTTTTTATTCTAACCAGTGACCAAAGATATTACCCTAAACGATTTTTCATACGTTTAGAAAATTGTGTTTCTTTTTTCGTTTTGAAAACCCCGCTATGGTTAATATTTTTGATCATAATTCAATTAAATCAAACTTGATTAGCGAGAATACAATTTTGCAATTTAATTAATAACTCACATTTTGTGAAACTTACTTTGTAATAAATGAGTTTAAATAGAATTTAGTGTGAAAAAGTTTGGGCAGCTTGAGTTTCAGAGTATATATTAATCCCTTAGGCATCTGTTTTAGCCTACTAAATCTTGTAAAATGTGTCTCATAATATCTCTGATATTTTAAACTTTTTAACCAATGCTGCTAGTTTTCATAGTTTGAAATTTATAGAACAAGAGAGAATGAAAACTAGACACCTATTCTTTTTCATTAAAATCTTTAATATCTTTAAAAGAACTACTTCAAAAAAACGATTTTCTTTAGAATTTTGAAGAATTTTTAATTTTTTAATTCTTTTGACTGATTGTATCCAATTTGAAAACTAAAAATGCTATTTTTTTTTTAAATAAGAAATCCTATAATTTGCAAACTATTAAATCTTTTTTTATTTATTATAGACAGAAAATACTTTTTAAAACTAAAAAAAAATGTTAAAATGTCCTTGAATTAGAAACAATCTTTTCTTCAAAATTCACAACTTACTGTTCTCTCCGTCCCGTGTTTTGTACAAATAAAACTAAGATAACTAAATGATATTTAGTATTTTTATTTTGCTTTTTACATTTTTGTTCTTAGTTTAACTTTTTCAGTCCAAATGAAGGTTGTGGGCTGAGTTCTAATGTGATTAATTATTAGTTTCAGCTCCTTACTATACACTAGTAGTGTAGTGTAGTGTAGTGTAGTGTAGTGTAGTGTAGTGTAGTGTAGTGTAGTGTAGTGTAGTGTAGTGTAGTGTAGTGTAGTGTAGTGTAGTGTAGTGTAGTGTAGTGTAGTGTAGTGTAGTGTAGTGTAGTGTAGTGTAGTGTAGTGTAGTGTAGTGTAGTGTAGTGTAGTGTAGTGTAGTGTAGTGTAGTGTAGTGTAGTGTAGTGTAGTGTAGTGTAGTGTAGTGTAGTGTAGTGTAGTGTAGTGTAGTGTAGTGTAGTGTAGTGTAGTGTAGTGTAGTGTAGTGTAGTGTAGTGTANCCCGTTACAAGAATTATCATTCATTCTCAACTTCTGGATTTTGTTTTTATTGCCAAAAAATGGAAAGAAAGCTAGGAATTGCACAGATCCTTGTTCTTATTCATCAAATTCGGGGAACGGTTGGACATGTGGGAGAAGATAAACTTAAACTTTTTTTCTGCCGGTATAGAAACAAGAACATCACCGTTAATCTATCTAACAGATACTCTCACAAACCAGGGGCGTACGCCCCACCCCCTTACGCGTGCCCCTGAGGGGGGCACGCTTGCATTTCCCTTTCTTAGGCAATTTACATTCTACATTGCATTGCATTGCACTCACCTAAACTAAAAGATTAAGAAAAGAAATAAAGTATATTCAAATTTACAACAATACCTTTTAAACTTTTTCTGATCAAGTATTGCATTAAATATCCATGTTTCCCATTTTGAAAACTGATTATTTTTTTTTGTGATTTCTCTAAAATTTGACTCTTGCATTTCTTGCCTCAGAAATGATGGAGAAATGGTGGTTCACTTGAAATTGCGCATGTATTATATAATTACATCTTTTAAAGAAAATACTTTAAAATTTCACTTTTGACGTGAACTAAAAAAGTTTCATTAAAAAGCTTTGATAAATACTGCCTTCTGTGTAAATATATATTTGATATCATTATTTATAAAACAATATGTATCGATCCTATGAAAATATAGATATTTTTAAAGAAAAGTTTCCATTTACATTTTTTATCCCTTAAAGCTTACACCACAGTATTAAGAGGGATTGTATGATGAGTCCACTTAAGAAAATTACATGAATAATTTATTAACACTTGTAATATGGAAGTGTGAATATGATCGAATAGTGTACATAGTTAAAAAAGGTATCAATAGTTTTTCAAAAAAGGGGTTTTTAAGGGGGCAAGGGGCCCCTACACAAATGCTCTCGTACGCCCCTGTCACAAACCACCGTTTCTTGGTATAAACAGGCGCAACTATCAGTTTGTTTTCACATAAATAAAACAACAAACCTTCCTGCAAATGACCAACCAATCCCATTTTGGGGGTACAGATGTATTCCTCTACAATTTTGTAATCGCTGTTTTGAATGGAGTTTCCAATTAGCTCTTGTAGATAAACCTTTACTAGGAGCAGATTTCCTGAAAGCTTTCAACCTACTTTTGAATGTTGGCGCGGAGAAGGAGAAGGAGAAGGAGGGGTTTCTCTAAGCTTCTCTTTATCATCCCTCTTGCCAGAAGAGACGGTAACTCTGTAAACCTTGGATTAGAATCCTAATGGGTGTGCACCATGCACTACGATACCAGTTTATACTCTGCCAGCTGCAAGGCAAAGATTGATGATGTAGACGAGGCCGTAATCTGAAGCACTGTGTCCGAGATGAAGAACCAAAATTTCAAGGGGGGGGGGGGAGGACGTCCCCCATCCCCCTCATAAGCCGCCTCTGGTAGTGTAGTGCAGTGTAAGTATATGAATAATGGTTTATTATGATTAAATCCAATATAGATCAGCATTCACAAATATATTATTGGTTCAACATTCTCTGGATTTATGCAGATGGGCAGATTCTTTCTATATTTCTCCGTCCTAACATGGTTGCCATGATACTGCTCCTGGCGGCGTAGTTGGTAAATATGTAGAAGAACGCTAACAGGGAGGAGATGTCAGATGCATTTGTTTGCAAAGGGGATTCAGCGATGTTTTTGCAGCAGCTCTTTCCCTGTCGAATTCTTCAAATAAAGTTAAGTGTAGCCAAGACTATAGCTTCTAACTAATCTATTTAAACTTGGTTCTCTGGGTTTCATCCTATCTGAGAACTCAGAACTGTACACTATCTATTCTCTTGAACTCAATTCTAGATCTAAACTTTCTCATGTATTCTGACAAGTCCAGATCTAAACAGTCAGATGGATAGACAACTATTATGGAGAATATCATTAACTCATTTAATTATTCCATTCTGTGGCATGGAGATGGAAAAATCACGAAATTCTCTTAAGCTTTCAAATAGAATTTTTTTTAAATCCACACTTCCACAAAAAACGTCACGTTAAAATGTTGGATAAATTGGTTGATAGAAGTTGCGACTGGAAGCTGCTATATGTCGATATATATGTCTCTATTTTGGAAAAGTTATAAATATTTGATTTCTTCTGAAATGAGCACGCAGAGGAATTGGATTAATATTGATAAGTTAAAACCTGGTATATCTGTATATAGATAGACTAGATTATATAGATACTGTACAATAATTTCATGATATCCATTAACTATAGAACTATCCATGATTCAAAACAATATCATTTAAACATCTATGTAAGAAATGGAGTTTGTTAATTTTTAAAATTTAATTCAAACGATTGTGAATGATGCACTAGTTATAAAAAAGAAATTTTCAAAAATACTGTTAACAAAAAATAATATGTTCAGTGAGCCCTGATCCTGTGGAGAACTGTACTGTTATAAAGAAATCTTCAGAGAGTTTTCATCTTCGCTGTAATCCAGGGTTCGACGGGGGTTTAAACCAAACCTTTGCAGTACAGGTACAGAAGCTATATATTCTAGTGTACAGGTACAGCAGCTATTTTCTTGTGAGTGTACAGTTACAGTAGCTATATATTCTTGTATACAGGTACAGCAGCTATATATTCTAGTGTATAGGTACAGAAGCTATATATTCTAGTATACACGTACAAAAGCTATATATTCTAGTGTACAGGTACAGCAGCTATGTATTCTAGTGTACAGGTACAGAAGCTATATATTCTAGTGTACAGGTACAGCAGCTATATATTCTAGTATACAGGTACAGGAGCTATATATTCTAGTATACAGGTACAGCAGCTATATATTCTAGTTTACGGAAACAGCAGCTATATATTCTAGTATACAGGTACAGTATACAGTATAAAGGTACAGTATACAGTATACAGGTGAGTCTACAGGTGCAGTAGCTATAATATATTCTAATGTACAGGTACAGAAGCTATATATTCTAGTGTACAGGTACAGCAGCTATATATTCTAGTGTACAGGTACAGAAGCTATATATTCTAGTGTACAGGTACAGAAGCTATATATTCTAGTGTACAGGTACAGAAGCTATATATTCTAGTGTACAGGTACAGCAGCTATTTTCTTGTGAGTGTACCGTTACAGTAGCTTTATATTCTAGCATACAGATACAGCAGCTATATATTCTAGTGTATAGGTACAGAAGCTATATATTCTAGTATACACGTACAAAAGCTATATATTCTAGTGTACAGGTACAGCAGCTATATATTCTAGTGTACAGGTACAGAAGCTATATATTCTAGTGTACAGGTACAGAAGCTATATATTCTAGTGTACAGGTACAGAAGCT